TCCCACCAACTCCGCCTTCTTCCCAACTCCTCCCCCGTCGTTGCCAGGAGACTAACTTCGGTCGTTAAGAGCCAGGCCGACTCCTTTGTTCACTTGATGGTTCTTGAATAGCATTCATGCAGGGGGGGGGAGGGGGAAAAAAGGGGAAAGGGAAAGAAAAATTCCTTTCTAAAATCAGAACTAGGACAGTATCAAAGCTCACCCCATCTAATGCAAGCATCTGCAGAGGGTATTTTCCCCTCCAGGCCTTCCACGTCCTTCTTTAACATTTACTGTTTGAGATCAGCAGTCCATACAATTTACCGCACCTGTCAGGGCTAATTTATTCATGCGATCTGGCAGCGATCAAAAAGGCTGAGATCGATGTGCCAGCAAACCCTGACATTTATTCATATTTTAAAGTCCCGTTTGACCTTGAACTCGCAGCTCACTGGGGGCTGGACTGTCAGCAGCTCTCTGAGCTCAGGGGCTCTGGCAGATCGGAGCCCCTGGGCTAAAGGCGACAGACGCCGTGCCCAGGAGCAGGAGAGGCTGAACAACAGACAGAGGGGTAGGGAATGCAGCACCACTCACAGCCCACCAGCACAACTGCTCAGGAGTCAGGGGGCTCCTTGACAAGCAGTAAAAAGGGCGAGGGAAAGGAGGGAAGGAGGAATGTGATGTTATGGCTGCACAAGGAGGACACCCTGTGTTGTCCTCGGCCAGACTGGCCCCTCCATGGGCTATTTGTGGTGAGCTGAGGGGAGGTAGAGACAGAAAATACCACCATCTCCCCTCCCTGGGGGAAATGAGACAGCAGCAGGTGACCCCGACACAGAGAGGAACCCAGAATATCTAACAGAAACCCTACAACCCATTAGGTACCTGCCAGCACAACGTGTTGAGAGCAGCTGGAAACAGGAATAGCAAAGACAGGTCTCAAGAGAATTGCTCTGACTGTGCTCTCACACTCCTAAGCAGAACTGGGCTGTAGAACTTGCCCATTCCTCTTGAAGGCCATCCCACCCCAGTCCTTTCTTCACTCAATCACAACCTAAAGGAACACAACAATCTAAAGCAGAGTTCTTGTAACACATGTGCGTGCTGGAACCTCCAGTAATCATCTCAGGTTCTGAATTCAGACCAGTTGGCAGAGAAATACATTAAAGTTTATTTTTAAGTAGTTTCAACGTGGGCTCTGCCACCAAATGCCTCTCAGACACCCCACGAGGACATTGTTAGCACCTCCTGCCTCAGTTTCCCCCTTGGTTCAGTGGAGCCATCCTCACTCACCTACTCCCTCAGTGTGCCAGGAATTACACACAGGACATGCTCTCAAGTTATTGCATCATTTGTTTTTCTGCTGATAGGAAGACATTTGTGCAAATGACGCGCTGTTAGAGACGCAGAGGAAATCTAAGTGGCATTTTAGGTAGAAATACGCAGCTACAGTTTTACCAAAAACATGCAAATAGATTATTTTGTAACAGTCAAAACACTTGAATATGTAACACGCAGTTGCACCCAGCACAGATTTTGCAAACATATTTTGATGCTTCTCTGGGTTCTCCTTGGCTGCATTTCTCATGTTATAAATTCTGTATGTCATATTAAATATGATTTTGCAGTGAGATCCGCTTTTTCTAAGCCTAGGATACGAACAGAAATGACAGTTATGTCATTTTGTGTTTGTTTCTCCTCGCTTTTAAATGGCTAACACCTTTCCATTACGCTGGAAGAACGTTACCAATGGAAAGCAATTGGCATTTTGACCAATGCATTTGTGCACATTATATATGTGTCTAACACTGCCATGCAATCCAATCTGATCTTATGGAAGAGAAACAATGACATATGAGGACGCAGAGGGAATTTGTCTGGGTGTATCCAGACAAGCTGCAGCATGCAAGCAGAGAAACTACATATGGGGCCATGCAAGTTACAATAAACGTGCCAACAAAACATTTCAACCAACCTGCTTCCCTATTTTTTTCCTAGGCAGAAAACAAAATTTAAGAGAGGGAGAAGCTTGAAATTCTGAGACTTTTAAAGCATTTTATTGAAGCTCTTTTTCCTGCCTGTGCTCAGCTGAACAGGGACCTGTTTCCCTGCTCCGTGCCCTGTGCCGGGTCTCACTCCTCTGTGAGCTCTTTAGGGCAGAAGCAGCGATTGCACTTCTCACTGGTGGCTAATCTGCTGCTGCCTACCACAGAAAATAGCTTCTCTCTTTCATGCACAGTGTTAAGTTCCTTTTTTCCATGTGTTACACACGGCACAGATAATGATATTAATTTTTTTGGCACCAAGGAGTGAACCTTTCTTCAACAACACGGGTACATACATTATTCCTCCCCTGCTCCTGCTCCTCAGCTCAGAGGTACCTGTCACACAGGCCAGCTCAACATGCTTTGCTCTACTCAGGCAACACCAGTGCAAGGATAATTATTAGTCAGTTAGATATTTCCTTAGCAGACAGCAAAAAAAACACAGTAAAAAAAAAAATGTCCTGTTTCCTCCCAGAGTTCTCCAGGCAGAGAGAACTTCCCCCTCCAAGCCTACAACTCCTCGAATATCAGCTCTGTTACCCTCATGCCCACGTGACAAAAAACACTTCCAACCTGCCAGTGGTGAGGATTTACACTGCTCTGCTCAACATCATAAATAATGGTGAGTGGAACATTCCTCCAAGGGTAACACCCTCAGCTCCAGATGGAGCTACACATTTAA